TCCGATCCGGTAGTAGATTCATTCGCGAAACAATTGCTCTTGAGTTGTTAGGTCTCCTTCGGAGGCGCTCGGGCAGTTGTTAGCAAATCCCACCCCTCTTGGCTGAGCCTTTGCTCGCCCACCTGTCCTGGTGAAACTGGAAAGGCCTTCGGGCCACCAGTAAACTTTCAATCATAAAAAAAAAAAAAAATATTGAGGTGACCATGAAGATTACCCTAATTAATATTAGGCGATACCTAGTGTCCATTGAAACCGCGAACGAATGTTGTTGTTCACCTTGATATATTAGGTCGAATCTTTAGTGACCAAGAAAATTTTACGAAGCAGATTTGTTTTTATTAGCATACAAAACCAGAGGAAAACATAATAGTAAATTTATAGATCGGAGGAAAAGGCCTCAAACATGGTTGCGTGATGTGAAGAGGTAAAACGACTATGGTATAAATTAGGACGCGTTCAGTCTGTCATATTGAAGGCGTTGTGAGGGCACGACTTGAATATTCAAGGTTATTACTGTTTGCGATTTTTAAACTGATATATAGGAAACGGTATATTTATTTAGAGATCGTTAAAGCTATTATTGTTTTGTTGTGTTCAATAAACGACGCTAAAAATCAGTCATAATTTAGAACAGACAAAAAAATTGCACCTAAAACTTTTAACACAGAATTATTATGAAGCGATCCAGTATATTCATTCAAATATAAAATCCGTTGATAATAGAATTTCATAGTGACATCACAGACAGGGTAATTGGAGTTCGTAAGACGAGAATTGGGTATTTTTAGAAAGAAAAAAAAACTGGGTGCCTTCCCTAACGACATCGTTATGTAGATTTCCATCCACATTTACGGGTTTGGCCCTATTGAACGGCTGAGTTCTGGTTCCTAATATTCAAAAGCGGCCACGAATTTAAGCCCCTATTAAAGAATTGGCACCCGTTGTTCAGAGCGACATCAAGATAAGGCCAAGAGAAAATTTTAAAGCGTTAAAACAAATTGGATTGAATTAAGAAACTAGGTATAAATCGCTAGAATGATCTGTACAGAATTGATTAATAATTTATTTTTTTGCAGCCCGCGCAGAGCCGCCCGCGTCGAATTCATTTCACGCTATTTAACCGTTAAACAATGCGAAACGTTTTTGTTTATTAAATTAAATTTTATAACTTCTGTACCGGCATTATAATTTTTAAGATGGTTGCAATTTTATAAATCGATCCCGAAACCGAAAGGGGGCTATATCTATACATAAGGATCACCAAAATAGTATAACATATATATTGTTTATCAACTTTTTTGTTTATAGTTTAGTTTATAGTAACTGCAGTTAGTTTTTTTCTATCGTTACAAGAAAAAATGTCAATCATAAAACAAAAGAGACAATGTTTCACGAAAAAATTACTAAATCAGTAGATGGTAGTATGGTCGAATTTCGATCAGACATTGATTGACAAACATCAGTAAACTATGCGTACTACCTTGGTAAGTAATATTTCGTGAACCCGCAATGAAACGCGAAAGCAGTTTTCGAGACGCATCCCGAGTTCCGTTGAAATTACGATTGTCGCGTTTATCAAAACTTTATTTGCGTTACATTGCGGGACAGGATATTTCAACTAAATCGATCACAAAAAAAATAGGTTGAGTTCGAATAGATGTGCTCTTATTGAAATCAAAATGATTGATTCACGATTAACCGATACAGTCCTCACAGATGCGATTTGTTTAAGTATTATGACGTCACATACATTAGTAATATTTAACTAGTACCTTTAAATACTTGGCTATGTTTTAATTTTGAATGATGCCAGGTAATGACCATCGCAAACACCTTGGCATTATTAACAGCAGCTATTGTTTGTATAGATGACGGTTTAGTGGTGATAGTAATAATAGTTACGACTTTTGAAAGCATTCTTTAGAAGTCAATATTGCAGTATCAAGTAGACTCAGGAGTGGTATTTTTCCTTTTTCAATGCAACGACGCATTCCGATGATTCAAATAAAAGCTACTCTGAACCACAACTCTTCTTTAAAAATTCGTTAATACGTTTAAAAACCAGAAAGGATCTCTAGTTTTTGTTAATTTTATTACGCAACTGAATATTTGTCGTTAAGATGTAACTAAGAACGTTATACAATTGTATTTTGACATCGGAGGAAGGAAATCAACATATATATAAACAATACTGTTGGTGGGACCTCTTGTGAGTTCGCACGGGCAGGTACCACCTGCCTATTTCGGCCGTGAAGCAGTAATGCGTTTCGGTTTGAAGGGTGGGGCAGCCGTTGTAACTATACTGAGACTTTAGAACTTATATATCTCAAGGTGGGTGGCGCATTTACGTTGCAGTTGTCTATGGGCTCCAGTAACCAGTAACACCAGGTAGGCTGTGAGCTCGTCCACACATCTAAGCAATAAAAAAAAATACAAACGTTTATAGGCGAGGTTTATTTGACGTCAATTGAAAACAAGACCTTTACTTTGTTCATCGAAAGGCTTAAAAAGAAGACTAATTTCATGCTCGACTCGGCGTCAACCTTTAAACATTGTTTATTCAACCCTTTCCTCGTTAAAGTACCTATAAAGGGCACGCGTGACTACCTATGATCTTGACGCTTTGTTTGCATATAGATTCAATAGTGTTTTTCAGTTTGGTTTTAGTACGAATTACTTTCGACGAAATGTCTATATAAAATATATAAAAATGAATTACTGTTCGTTAGTTTCGCTAAAACTCGAGAACGGCTGGACCGATTTGGCTAATTTTGGTCTTGAATTATTTCTGGAAGTCCAGAGAAGGTTTAAAAGGTCGATAAATATAAAAATGCTCGGAATTAAATAATAAAAAAAAGGTTTTCCTTTGATCCCCCCGCCGGACGGATTCCTATTGTTTGTTGTAAGTTTATTTTATACAAAAGTTTAGGTCTTTTATTTATCGATTTAGGTACTACGAAGTCTGTCGGGTTAGCTAGTATTAAATAAATATTATAAATAGTATATATATGGTATAACAATGAATCGCGAGTGTGAAGCAAAACTTATTTCATGGAAATATAAAACTATCAAAGAAATAAAAAATACAAAAATTCAATTCACGTACAAAATTCGAAATCGAGTTAATGTTTCGTCATTTCCACACGTAAGCACGATACATAATTGATGCTATTATGATTTTCAAGTAACAACAGTCTATTTATTTTGTGGCCTCACGAATAGAATTTTTATGGAATACGGACATTAATAACTCGAGTGACTAGTAAAAGGAATCACATGATTATTGATATTGGCGTTGTATGTACGCCTCGTGATATCGAGTGTTATGTTTGTGTACAGAATAAATGCTTTATTCGGTAATTTAATTAGCTCTCTTACATCCTGCAAAGTTTCATCCAAATGGATCTATTCTGTATGCATTCCGTTTTCGGTGTGTACAACTCTATTATTATTTTATTAGATCTAGATTTTTCAGAAGAACATTTTTTACGGTTTCCATTGATTTTTTAATTTAGCGTTTACACTAAACGATTAAGCTGAAATTATGACAATACATAAAACTTTTGACAATTTTGAAGTAAAGATTTAGGGATTTATCAAAATCATCTGTGTTATTATTATTATTGTTATTGTTTTACAGGATATTTTCAAATGGAAAGTTGATAAAGTTAATAATTATAACATATACAGGGCAGTCGAGCCAACCAGGCCTGGTTTCAGAAACCCATAGAGACACCCACAACATGACGCATCCAACCATAATAAGTTGCTCGAACTGGATCCAATAGTGACTATCCTGAACGCCTTCGAACTAGAAGCAAGATGGGGCATCTACCCTCTACGGATTAACAACATGCTATATCACTCTCAAAATAGGAAACTTCTTTCAAAAACAACGTTACAGGGTGTGTTGTTTCAATAGGTTGAGGGAAAAATCAATAAAACAAAAATGTTTTTTTTTGAACTCCAAATTATTCGAATAATTAAGGTTTTTATGAGTATACTTTAATAAGCACTGATTGAAGTCTGTGCTCCGTGACTACATAACGCATTTGACCCGTCAGATATAAATAAATACACCTAATTATGCGAACTATTTTTTATCAGTTGAACGAATTTGAACCTGATTTTATTTTGTGTAAACTGTCCGCAGTAAAAAATATATTTCTTTGACAAAAAAAAACTGTTTGTAATTGTAATGCAATCGATGTAACCGCGATAAAAAAACCAATAACAGTTCCAGATAAAGAAATGTGATTTCCATTATTTTTTTTGCGTTTACCAACTCATATTTCGTGAAAATAAATTTATTTGGTTTCCTATTTCAAGAGTATTATTGCCTAATTCCTCACATTGATAAATTGATCGAAAATCTTACAAATCTTCTTAAAAAAGAGTACCTTTCTTTTCGAACTAAAATTAGTTATGTACTAAGAACTACTAGACGAAGTTCTATTTACACAATTTAAAGAATGCAAACATCGAGAGATCTCTGAATGAACCGCTGTCTGAACGACTGCCAGAATACGGATCACTCTCGTCTGATTTAGTGCCACTCTTTAGGTCATGACCATTCTCATGACCACTCCGTCACACATCTGGCCAAATTCAAAAACATCTTGATTGACGTTTCTTTACGAATATATTTTTAGATTGAAACATAAAAGTGTAAGTGATAGAGTAAAAAAATTATGCGCATAACTCTCTCTACCTTTACCATAAAAGCGTTATCGTAATTCATATTCTAAGCACGCGCCGAAGATCACGAGCCGTGAAACCGATTCGTTTTCCTCTCGAACGAATCGCACGTGACAACACGATGACATACAACGCGTAAAAAAAAAAAACTAAACAAGCGTTCAAAACATAAACGTAAACTCTGCAGTAACGTAAGTGAGAACGCAAACAAACGCGGCCTTGAACGTTAAGCAGATCGCCTGAAAATACTCCGGCGCGTGGAAATAGCCGCGATGAAAATACGAACACGTGATGCTACGTACCTAGTGAACAGTCGTATGGAGAAAATCGATGGTGCTTGCCACTCGGCGACCGGCGGTTGACTAAGCCACTGTGTCAGCAGAACGCGCCCCACCCGAACGTCAGCCCGCCTGATTCGATGTCACGGTTTGCAATTAAAAAAAATACTATACACAGTTTACGCACTAAAAATATAATTGAAACACTTTAGATTGTGGAATTCAGGCGGCTTGAGTGAGGTTGTGATCGCGATCGGCCGCAGCGCGGGTCGACTAGCGCGTCTCGTCGAGTCGCTGTGGAGCTATGGACTGTCGGATCGGAGTATCGGAGCGAGGCAGCGGCGACCGACGAGGTGCCTCCCTGCCCCCGCTGTGACGTAGGCATAGCCCGCGATGCTGGAAATTAGCAGCTTCCCGAGCGAGGGTCGGAGGATGTAGGTCACGGGGACTGGGCTGCACTTGCCCGCTCTACCGTGATGCTACACTTGACAAGTTTAAGGACATAACTAGGCTTGATTAGATGCATGCCGTTATCAAAACTATGCCGTCAATATAGATAGCTACGGGACCAAAACTCGTAGCATGCAATAGCGTAGACATACAAAAATATAATTATTAATGGAACAATCGCAATTTTGTTTCGAATAACTTAAAATTTTGGGTAAAGACAACCGAGACGGAAAATTTCTTTTGAAGTGCGAATTGGAAAAGTTTTCAGACCTCTTTTTTCGGGTTATAGTCAAATAAAAGTTGGGCCGTCATCGCTGCGGCGTTTATCAAATTACAAAGGAAAAAGGTGCTTGTGTAAGGAAAAGTGTTAAATCCCGTTTTCTTGGAACACGTACCTTTTTCGTCCAAGCAAACCGTATTTGATACGAGGTCTATTTTACCCAATAATTGTTCTAAATAAAACACAATTATGATTTAATTGAAACTACTTTTACGGTTTAATATTGCGTGTATTATCCATCGTTCCGAATAATTAACAGTTTTCGTGGTCAATCGTTCGTGACCACCAGAAACAAGATTATCAAATAATAGTGACCATTGACTGTTTTTATAGAGAGTCTATTTATAATTTGACTGAATGTTGTCACTTTTAGAAATATACCTGAGACCTGTTCACGAAACATTTCCAGGACAAAGGAAAAATAACGTGTAATGAAAATGAAAATAGAGATCCCAGGCCGTAATGTAAGTCTGTGCGCTTAGAACAACCGGCTTATCCCAACTAATATACATAAGGTCGTAAAATTCTAGATTTAATATGATTTTTAATAAGTTGGTGTATAACTTACGAATCTTTACTCTCTTTATTATCTCTTTTTTACATGTTTCAAGGTAACTGTTGATGAAAGGAATAAATGCGGTTAAAAATATCATCCCAAGTTTAGTCTGTCTAAAGATGTTCAGAATAGAAGAAATAAGCAAGTGGCGAGGTACATAGTCACTTTACTTTACATTTTTGAACAAATCAAAAAGCCGTTATGAAATATCGCCATATTCTCTTAAAGCTTTGAAGGCAGAGTTTGATAATGAACGGATTTACCATTTTTGTTCGTGTAAATAACGTATACCAATAATGTCTACAGCACATATGAACAAAACTTAAATGAAACACTAGGAAATTTTTTTCATCTCAAAAATGAGAAATCAGTCATTACGAGTATTCAGTATACGTATCAATAAACACAACAAAACCTCTTCAGGAATTATAGAGACGTTTTTTTTTAAAATTAGATAGTTTAAAATTAAATTAGCCTCTATGTAAAGGAATTTTAAAAGGACGACGAATTACACCCATTTGACAAAATTATCGCTCGAAGTAATCTTAATATGTATACGCTTAAAGAAATCTCGAGCATATTTAAGAAAGACAGCTCGATCGGGAATCCAATCCGGAGTCTGTAATACAATACAATAATAATTTAACACATAACAGACTAGACGAACGAGACAGTCTAGATTGAAAATATTTTTCAGGTCTTCCATTAGCTGAGTTTGTTCCCGAGGGTGAAACTGTAATGATAATTACAAACTTACTTGTATCTAAACGTAAAACTATGCTCATTTTCGAAATTAAGCCGGAGCGTTCTCCGAGTGCCATACCAGAATACTGCGATCATTATTTGACATTTATTACTGGTGGTAGGACCTCTTGTGAGCCCGCGCTAGTAGGTACCACCACCCTGCCTATTTTTGCCGTGAAGCAGTAATGCGTTTCGGTTTGAAGGTTGGGGCAGCCGTTGTAACTATACTTAAAACCTTAGAACTTAGATCTCAAGGTGGGTGGCGCATTTACGTTGTAGATGTCTATGGGCTCCAGCAACCACTTAACACCAGGTGGGCTTTGAGCTCGTCCACCCATCTAAACAATAAAAAAAATTGCCTATTTTAAGGTGTATTGTGACTACGCATGGGCGGGTGACCACCATCCTGCCGCGAAACAAACATGTGTTTCGGGTTATAGGGTAGGGGTAGGGTAGGAGTAGGGTAGGGTAGGGTTATACGATACAAATGCGGGTTCCACATAATGTCTAAAACTGGGCGACGGCGTTTAACTTGTGATGTCCATATGCTCCGCTAACCACCAGCTGTACCGTGAACTTGGAAGCGCGAGCGTGTGCAATTTATACACTCAAAATTTAATTTAAAAACAGCTGGTGGCCATCTGCGTCCGAAAAGATACAAGTCAGCTGATTTTTAAGTGCTATGTACATTGCTTGCAGCGCAATAAACATTATTCAAATATTTATGTAATTTTTTTATGCGCTGAAACTTTTTAGCGTCGTTTGGCGCTTGTTTGCCAGTGAGTGAATTCAGAAAAAAACTTCCACTATCATCCTATTGTGCAAGTTACCTTCTCCTACAGCTAGTGTGGCAATACCACTATTCCATCCACACTCACACATAACTAACTCCCAATTCATATATCTCTCCGCGCTTTATAGGCTGTAAGCGTATGTACTAATAGGTTGGGGTAAAAGTCTTATCTATTTCGCAAACCAATTGTCGTTGTATTTTGAACAGAAGCCTCAAAGTTTCAATAGCAATGGGATCATGTCCCTTCCTACAAGATGGCAAAAAGTTATCGAACAAAATGGTACCTACATACTTTAGTTAAATGTAAATTAACTATTTTAAAAAATGTTGTGAATTTTCTTAAAAAAATACGAAGAAACTTTTCCCCCGACCGTCGCTTTAAATTCATAAAAATATGCTCTGATGCTCTCACCCTCTTGTTCCGTCTCAATCTGCGTACATAGGTACGTCGTACGTGTGCTTTTTAAGCGGTTTTAGAACTCTGTAAACAAATTCGAAACATTTAATCTGAATTATAATTTTTTGTTGTTTGTTGTTTGTTGTTCGTTCGACCCTATAGATCTAACACTTGAACTTAGTACAGTTGTTCTTGCCACTTCAGGAAGTTTTGGTGATACCAACAAAGTACGACGGGTGGCGTGCAAATGTTTAAATAAATATATTATGTCTATTCCATTTAAAATTGTAATAGGTAGAACGAATCTTGGCCGGATTTCACTAGTTTAAGATAAAATTTGTTACGTAGTCTCACCGATTTTTTAAATTGGATAAAGCCTTCGACTATTTCGGCTTTTTCATGACGTCACGCTTTAGTTATTGCGTCGACACATAACTAGCCCTTTTAGTGGCTTCCTTTTTGAAAACGTTCCCCTTCCGAACGGCTTTGGACAGTAATATTGATGTGAAATAATAATAAAAATCATCTTCAAATAAAAAATCACGATTTCCGCAAAGCGACTACGAGGTGATAATTGCACTACGCACGTTTTTCAGTGCGCGGTTTACGCGGTAGTCAATAGTAGACAAACCAAATAGAAATACAATGATGATAAGAAATTTACAGAGTTCACGCGTCTGTGGTTAGTTTGCTGTACTCGTGATCAATTTTATTCATGCCTAGCTTTGATCCTGTGGCGTAAACTTCTAAATAGCCGCCCTTAACCTGTTTTCACGAACGTTTTTGACTATGAAAAAACAATATTGGATGAGAAACCTTCACTGGTGGTAGGACCTCTTGGGAGTCCGCACGGGTAGGTACCACCGCCCCGCCTATTTCCGCCGTGAAGCAGTAATGCGTTTCGGTTCGAAGGGTGGGGTAGCCGTTGTAACTATACTGAGACCTTAGAACTTATATCTCAAGGTGGGTGGCGCATTTACGTGGTAGATGTCTATGGGCTCCANTCATATTCGTACTCATCATTCAATATCCTCATTTCGCGTCGCACTCGTATTGTCTAGATAAATCTCAGTGCAACCGGCACAGTTTCAGCGTTTACGAGTTCTTTGCTCTTCTTAGATTTAGTGGGATAATTTGATTCTTCAGTCTGTCGCAATGTGTAAGCGGGTTTGTTTAATCGGATAATTTTAGGATAGAGTAATTATGAAATACGAAACAGATTTGTGCATTGATAAATTTTATTTGAATGATAGAAATCTAAAAGTTATCATATCTATATATTTATATATATATAAATGAATTGCTGTTCGTTAGTCTCGCTAAAACTCGAGAACGGCTGGACCGATTTAGCTAATTTTGGTCTTGAATTATTTGTCCAGAGAAGGCTTAAAAGGTAGATAAATATGAAAATGTTCGGAATTAAATAAAAATAACAATTTTGTTTTTCCTTTGATGTGTCCCCCGTCGGACGGATTCATATTGTTTGTTTTAAGTTTATTTTATAAAAGAGTTTAGGTCTTTTATTTATCGATTGAGGCACTACGAAGTCTGCAGGGTCAGTTAGTCATATGATAAATTTAAACTTTATAATAATTAGGTAATGTATACATGTACAAGTAATTATTACCGATTTGATTATCCTTATCAATGGCATTCTTCTACACATATATAAAGAAATTTATCATTTAGCATAGAAGCCTACTGCAGACAAAAATTGTAGATAAAGGATTATTTATATTTTTAGAAGTTAAAAAACCTATTCGGATAGTCAGCTTCCCTTAATGAACATACTTTTTATTATATAAATATACCAGCAGGTGCTTTAAAATTGAGTTAATTGTCAAAAAAATAAAAAATTATTGTATTTTTCGAAATAAATCTGATTTTATTACCTATTCTAAATGTTTAAAAGTTTACTAACACGAAACTAAACAATGTGTTCCACAAAGAATCTCAATAACATTGCCATTTGAAAAATAACTCCCCTAGAGAGATATTAATAAAATGTAATAAGCCCCTCGTGGGTCGTCAAAGAGTTTCCACTGATTTAATATTACGAAAATAATTTGATTGAAACTTTTAGAATTACCTCATTTGTTTATTTATTTAC